CATTATGTATTTGATCAAGGTTATACTGTAATTGTAATTCTGTAGCCTGGCTTTGGAAATTCATATTATATCATGAACATTTCCCCACGTGGAGACCGTGTCACACTTGACAGCCTGTGTTGTGACCAGGCTCTTCTGCTACTATTTCGGCTGGAGCTACCACATCTTGAAGCGTGCGACCCTGGCTTGTGAGTGGCAGAGTGGAAACGATGGGGACGGCTGTGTCTCAGCCTCTCCCCTGAAAGTTGGGCACCCAGCTCAACACTGCACAAGGCAGCGCTGTCGTCTGGTCTGCGCCACTGGTGCAGGCGCCATGCTTCCGGTCTGCCCAGACGCCCAAGCACCCTCTGCACCTTGCTTTGCTGTCACCTAGGGCTGCTTCTTTTCATGTAGAAAATCCATGCTGGGAGTTGAACCTGAGAAGGCTCGACTTCTGCTGGAGTGGCAATTATCAGACAGCAGGGTTCCAAATACATCTGTGCAAATGGCAGTACGTTCATTTTCTGAGCAACCTGAACTGTCTGAGCTGACTTGATTGCTATAGGAGGAAAACCTTTCACTGTCCTCATTTGGTTCTTGCTCTGTTATTTACTCCCTTCGGAAGCATTTGATTCTACAATCATTCCTGACCTCCAGCCTGGAAAAACTACTTTGAAGAACAACAACAGATGCCATAAAGCAATGAAAACAAAGGGGACAGAGAGTTCTTTGGAGAATATAAACCAAATAACTATTTGCCTTCTTTCTGGAAACAATGATTCCAGTTTAGTGGAATGTTCTTGAGTGAAGCAACCCAGATCAATGTCAAGGCTCCTGGTCAGCCAACGGCCACCGAATGCAGCCCCAGCACTGGCCTCCTGCAGACTAGAGAGAAGTGGTTATCCAGGACTTGAGAGCTTGGTCTGGGAGTGGTCCAGCTCAGGAACAGCAGCTGGAAATTGTCAGGCAAAACTGCACTGGTGATGGCTTCCCTAAGCAGCTTCCCTAAGCAGCCTGAGTGTGTAGAGGGTATGGAGTCTGACGCTGTCATCTCTGGGCTTAGTCCCAGAGGAGCAGACCGAGGAAGGTAAACTGAGAGAGAAGGAGCTTATGGGAAACAATACCAAAAGAATTGATATCAACATTCTTGACTCATTTCTTCTCATTCTGTTTGAGTCTTCTCATCCATTCGAAGAGTCCACAGTTCGCTGTGCCTGCTAAGACCAGATTTTGGCAGAAGCAAGTGCGGTAGAGAGTTACTAAAATTCCTGGTACTGTCAAAGTAATACAGGAGACCAGATTTTAGAACCACAGCTTTGCAAGGCACTGAGGAAGACACTATATTTGGGGGAGACGAAATATGACATCTTGATGGTTTAATTTCACAGAGCACTGCAGAGTGGTGGTCAAGGACAAGATTTTTGGAGCCATGTGGCCTGGCCTGACCCAGCCTCACCACCCCGTAAGTGTAGCAGCCTGGGGACATTTAACCTCTCTGAGGCTCATTTGGTCTGGGAACTGAGAATGATAAAACCACATCATGCAGCTGTTATGAGCATTGATGGAGGTAATCAATGTAGCCCTTTCAGCACAGCACCTGTTACAGGGCAGGCACCTTATATGTGTTGAATTGGGCATCACCACATGACCACATCTCAGTGCCAGAACATACAGAGGCGTGTCAAGAGCAGAGCCCCATGTTGTGTGGTTTGGGACAGGAGTAGTGGGTGTGCTAAACAATACAGCAAAGAGCACAGTCCATACAGAGAAAGGTCTTGTTAACATGGCCTTAGTGTCAAAACTTTATAAACGTTTTCCTTGAGCTGCAAACAACTCAGAAAACCAGAATGTCCATGTTGGACAGAACCCTGGAGATTCTTCAGTCTAACCCTCACCTTATTCATGAGTGGAGAGCAGAGGGGATCAAAGGCCACATAAAGGGTCAGGCGATGCCTCTCACTGTAAGTCACCAAATCAACACTGTCACAGTACTGGCATGCTGGCTTGTGGTATTTTTAGATTTTGTACTTCTAGATTTTGTAGATTCTAGCATGAACACACACTTTCCATTTTTAAATTCTGAATGACCATGATGTATTGGTGGATGGTTGCCAATAAAAAAGGACTGGGTGAAAAAAGTGTCATCTACTACACTGTAAATTCACAAGGCTGGGGGTGTGTACTCTGTTCAGCTTTGAACTGCTTGCTAACAAGTAGTACACAGTAGGTGCTCAATGGACGTCTGTTGCATGAACAAAAGAATATGCTCAAATAGAGCTTTTCTGAGTTAACAGTTGTGGGACTGACAAGCCACTCCATTCCCAAAGTGCCGAGTTATTGTCATCTAGATGAAAATAACTTTAATAACACTGGACCAGTCATAGGAAGGTCAAGAATGCCTCAAATGCTGCCAGCGGCCCCTGAGGGACAAGGAAGTGAGAAAGGAAGTTCCAGACTATATTTGTCATTTTGCAGGGGTGACGGTGAGAAAACGTACAGTTGACTGTGTGATCACACTCTGGGCCTTCCCCTTCTCTTTCTTTAGCCATCAATCAGTTCTGCCTCAGTGGGGTTCTCTCTTCTGAGGTGGGATCAAATTTTAAGACAGCACATAAAGGAACATAGAAATTATATAGTGAAATTAAGCATGAAAATCCTTTAGGGTGAAGACCAACACACCATCTCTTCATGAGTCTAAAGGCTTGTTTTCCTTCAAGATTAGAACAAACTGCCATTTCTTCAATTAAGCACCACAAGAAACACTGGCTTGTATTGGGTCACACCACAGAAAAAAAACTTATCTTTAAATATCAGGGTTATATGAAGTGTGGTGATATAATCACATTATGAGGCACAGATGGGATCTCAGACCAACTGAGGAAATGAGATATACAATTCCTACTCATCGACAGTGGGCCCCTACACTCTTTATATATTCCATCTCCCTCATGCTTCCTCTTGCCCAAGGTCAAGTCAGTCCAAGAGTAACCATCTTATGATGACTGCATCAATCCTCTGGTTTCTCTACCAACCCCCAAGTTTAGCTGTCAATTGCCATCATGTGGAAGCATGTCCCTCCCAACAAAAGTCTGGGGAGGAGCCCAGCCCAACAGAGCCCACCTCTAGGCATCTGTCAGTGGGAAAAGGTATTTCACACATTCATCACAGGGTCTTCTGAGTAATGTCAATCCACCATAGAACATGGCGATACTTTTCTTCCTTGGATAAAGCAGAAATGGTGGTGCAGGATAGAAGAGGAGAAAGACTGTCAGTCTTTCTCACTTCAAATGAGACACATTACAGTGATGAAGGCAGGCAGGTGACTAAGAGCAGGGACACTAGAGCCAGACAGCTTGGGTTCCAATCATGTGACCCCAGACAAGTTAGCTAACCTCTCTGTGCCTCAGTTTCCCTATCTGTGAATTGGGACAGTAACACCTGCTTCAAAGGGTTATTATAATGATGAAATGAGTTAATATTTGAAACATGCTTAGGAACAGTGGCTGACTACAACGATGTGCCATACCTGTCAGGTACAGTAAGTGCAGGTACCTGGAGCAGCAGGTATGGGAAGACCCGGGTCTCCACTCTATTGACCGCTGCCCACTGATGATGCCGAATAGGTCCTCTGATTGCTATACAGTAGTATGCATCAGGAGCTTAATACTGAATGTAGAAAATACTTCAGGACCAGGAAAACTGACTTGCAAAACTATTTCAACTGACTTGACTTTCCTACTCTCAAAACACCCTGTAACTCAGAATCTTCTATCGCAAAATCTGTAAAAATTTCCCACAATGTGATATGGAGGTTAATGAAAAATTCATCTGTGTACAGTTTAGAAAGTCACTGATTTAGAATTTCTCAATTTCAAGTTATATCATTCCTATTTCTGAAAATAAATATATTTTAACTGTTTTACAATTCAAGAAAAGAGTTACAGTGTAAGTTGGCAACATGGTTTCCACATCGACTGATCAGTACATAAGAGAGGAAACAGTTTTTCTTTTATCTTTAAGTTATGGCATAAAAAATGGAAGTGGCTCCAAAGCCCAAGGGGAACAGAGTGCCTAGAAACACCTGCTCGTGCTCTGGTGAGGGTCCTCTTCTGCCACTTATGACTTCCTAGGGATACTGACCACACCACCATCTTGGGACTCCATTAAACTTCCGACAGAATAGTTAGAGATGGAAAAGAGGAACTGGACCCATTTTTTTCCAAAAATTGTAATATGCTGCTGCTCCTCATAACTACAAGTTGTTGTAGTTTTCAAAGCACTTCCACAAACCTTATTTCTCTTAACCTGCACAGAATACTGTGAGGCAGGTAGAAAGGCAGCATTACTCTTAACCTGAGACAAAGAATCCAAGAAAGTGTGATGTCCACAGCCTGTACATAGCAAAGATGCTAAATCCCAAATTTCTTCCTAATGCTACTTAATGCAATAATTTCATCTTCTGTGGATGTGATATTTGATGCTTTCCACATAATTGTGACTTTACAACCAAGAATGATTCAGAACGCACCCTGAACCTCATATGCCTTTAAGGTCAGTTGTCATTATACAGTATATTTGCTTTAATTCTGGGAAATTTTAAGCCATCAGCTCTTTCCATATTGCTCCAGTGCCTCTGTTTACACGGAGCAGGTGCACATGAGTACTTGGGGAAGCATGGGTGGTACAGCACACAGAAGTGCTGTAGCCAGCAGTCTGGGCACCTGGTATGTGATTCCCACACAGGGAAAGCATTTCTGTTTTTCTCTACTGATAGTACCAAGGAATAAGGACTTCAGGACTGAGGCTCTGCCAGAAACCACCCACCACCTCTGAAAAAGACTTCAAAGGAGCAATGACCACCACGGTCATACAAACTGGGTCACCTTGCCTTCCAAAGGTAGAAGTGGTAATGGTGTTGCTGGGTGGGATGGGCAGGAGGAGACATGGAGCATGTCCTGTGAGGAGGGGGTCTGGGGGTGTACTCTCCAATGAGAAGGAGAAGAACAACAGCGTGACCCTACCTTGCTGCAGATGGTTTTTACCCCGTGCAGTCTATCCAGTGACTCCTGTGGATTCCCCAGATACTGCTGAAGCTCTGCATGTAAGATGCGCATGGAGAAGGGGACCATGGAGCCTGGAATCAAGTCAGAGTTGAGTTAGTTTGTGAGCATGCTTGCAACTTGGTACACCTGAAACAAAGCATCTGCAGGTGTCCTACCAGAAGTGAAGACAGACCCCTTTATTTCTTGGAGAAGTATTCAGTGGTGTCAGCTATGAAATAAATGCTGGTTTTCTCCATGAAGCTCCATCTACATACGTCTAGATAATTATCAGAGGAGACAGGCGGATGCCACCACTAATTCCACAGCTACACTGCAACAGGCAGACATTACCACAAAATGAACAAAATAGCAGAGACGAAATCCTCCTCCAATAAAAGAAAAAAAAAAAAAAAACCCCAGCATTCAGATATTCCTTAGTATTTCTTTAGTACAGCAAGTTCAAGTAGAAGAGTGTATAGGCTGGGTTCCCCAGAAGGAGACCCTGAAGGGAGAACCTGTAAGCAAGTTACTGGTTCCAGAACTGCTCCCAGAGAAACCAGCAAGAGGGTGGATAAGCAGAGCAGGGGTGCATTTCAGGCCCAGGACCTGCGGATGGACCTCCCACTAGATTCTGTGCTGGGAGCCTAAGTTCTACCTCTAAGTTGTTCCAACGGGAGGCAAGGGAGCTGGACTTGAAAACACTATCATCCATGGCGGCCCTGGCACTGTGAGTGTGCTGAGGAGGAAGAGGAAAAAGCACAAAAGAGACAGACCGCATGTGGTTGCATCTTCTCTCAAGATAAGGAAAGCTTTTTGTTAATAGTATGCTCTCTACTAACACGAATTGGAATTTGATCTGTAGTATATACACTAAATCCATAAAAGCCATCAAAATAACCAAGTAGCCTGCATGGATTATAAGTGAGATAAAGAATATGGAAATTCCAACAGACGGCAATCACACAGATTCAATAAAGCAGTTGAGTTGTTAGTATTCAGATCTGAATATATAATTTGGAAGATGGGGAGAAAAGCTGTGTGACTTCTGTAAGCCACCTGGAAAGGTGGTGGAGTTAACTGCACCTCACTCTGATAACTGCTCATGGGCCTGGGGGCATTTCTGCATTTCAGAGGACATATGAAAATATTTTAAACTAAATGACAATAGAAATACAACCTAACAAAATTTGTGGGATCCAGCAAAAGCAATGTCAAGAGGACATTTTTTAGTGGTGATAATATATACTTGAAAATAAAGACCTAAAATCAACAGTCTATAAAAAATGGAGCAGAAATCAATAAAACTGAAAACAGGAAATCAATAGATTAAAAAGAAATCAACAAAAACAAAAGCTTATACTCTTTGATAAACTCAATAAAATTGACAGACCTCTCCCGAAACTAACCAAGAAAAGAGAAGACATAAACTATGAAGATCAGAAATGAAAGTGGGATCATGACTACTGACCCTATGGACATAAAAAGAATAATAAAAGAATATTATAAATATAGCTCTTTGTCTACAAATTTGGTAACCTAGATGGAAAAAAAAAGTTTTTCAAAAGGAAAAGCAACAGCTCCAGATGGTTTTACTAGAGAATTCTACCAAATATTTATGGAAAAAAAGGGTACAAATTCCCTACAATTTCTTCCAGAAAATAGAGGCAGAGGAACATTTCTAACTTATTTTATGAGGCTAACATTTCCGTAATATGAAAACCATATAGAGATACTAAAAGAAAACTGTAAACCAGTATGTCTCATGAACATAAATCCTTAAAAAAATTAGCAAATTGAATCTAACAGAATTGAATTCAACAAAAAATTAGCAATCAAATCCAACAATGTATACAAGGAATTATACAATGACAAAGTGGAATTTATTCCAGATACGCAAAGGTGGTCCAATATTCAAAAATCAATTAACATAATCAATCACATCAAAAAGGCTAAAAAGAACAAAAATCATATCAATAAACATAAAAAAGCCTTTGACAAAATCCAACACCCACTCACAATAAAAACCCTCAACAAACTAGGAATAGAGGGAAACTTCTTTCAACTTGATAAAGAACGTCTATGAAAGAAGTGCAGCTAACAATATATTTAATAGTGAGAAACTAGATGATTTCCCCAAAGATTATGAATAAAGCAAGAATACGCCTCACCACTCCTATTGAATATCATACTAGCTAATGCAATAAGACAAAAAAAGAAAACCAAATGGTGAACAGATTAGAAAGGGAAAAAATAAAATTGTCTTTGTTCACAAATGACATAATTACCTAGGAAGAAAAATCTGAAACAATTGACAAAAAAACTCCTAAACTAATAAGTTTAAGGTTGCAGGATACAAAATTAACATGCAAAATTCAACTGGTTTCCTAAATACAAGTAATAAACAATTAGAATTTGAAATAAAAACACAATACCATTTATATTAGCACCAAAGTAAATTAAATAGTTACATGTAAATCTGACAAAATAAGCACAAGATCTGTATGAAGAAAACATAAAACTCTGATGAAAAGCAACAAAGATCTAAAAAATGAAGAGCTACTCCATGTTCATATGTAGGAAGACTCAATATTGCTAAGAGAGGTTAGTTCTTTACAACTTTATCTATAAATTCAATGCAATTCCATCAAAATTCCAGCGAATTATTTGGTTATCAACAAAATGATTCTAAAGTTAATATGGAGAGGGCAAGCTGGGTGCTGTGGCTCACCCAAAGTGTAATCCCAGCACTTGGGGAGACAGAGGCAAGAGGAGTGTCTCAGCCTAGGGGTTTGAGACCAGCATGGGCAACTTGGTGAGACCTTGTCTCTAGAATAAATAAAAAAATTAGCTGGGCATGGTGGCACATGCTTGTAGTCCCAGCTACTTGGAAGGCTGAAGTGGAAGGATTGCCTGAGCCTAGCAAGTCAAGGCTGTGGTGGCTGTGAGAATGTTACTGCACTCCAGTCCGGGCAAGAGAGACTCTGACTCAAAAAAAAAAGGAGACGTTAAAAGATCCAGGATATCCAACTCAATAATGAAAAGAATAAAGCTGAAAGACTGACACGACCCTACTTCAAGACCCACTTTAAAGCCATTATAATAAAAACTGTGTGGTATTGACACAAAAACAAAAAATAAAACAGAAACAAATAAACCAATGGAACAGAATAGAGATGAAAAATAGATCCTCACAAATAGAGTCAGCTCGTCTCTGACAAAGGAGCAAAGGTAATAAAATGGAGAAAGAACAGTTTCTCAACAAATGGTGCTTGGACAACTGGACATTCACATAGAAAAAAATGAATCTAGAGACACAGACCTTACATATTTCACAAAAATTAACTCAAAATGGATAACAGACCTAAATGTAAAATGCAAACACTATAAAACTTCTAGAGCAGAAAATAGAAAATTTAGGTGACTTGAGATTGGTGATGACTTTTTAGATATAATATCAACACCATAATCCACAAGAGAAAAAAAATTGAGAAGATGAACTTCACTAAAATTAAGAACTTATACTTTGTGAAAGACACTACTAAGAACAGAGATAAGTTACAGATAGGAAGAAAATATTTGTAAAACATATCTGATAAAGGACTGTATCAACATATACAAATAATTTTAAAAATATCAACAAGAAGTCAAGCCATTTAATAAATGGGCAACAGATCCAAACAGATGCCTTATCAACGAAGATTTATAAATGACAAGCATATGAAAAGATAGTCAACATCATATATCATTAGAGAAGTGCAATACCATGAGATAACACTACATATCTATTAGAATACCTAAAAATCCCAAACTGACAATACTAAATGCTGGTGAGGCTGTGGACCAACAGGAACTCTCATTCATTGCTGATGAGAATGCAAAATGGTATGAGAATTTTGGAAGACACTTGGCAGATACTAACAAAGCTAAACATTCTTTACCTTAAGATCCAGCAGTCAAGCCGGGCTTGGTGGCTCAGCCTGTAATCCCGCGCCTTTGGGAGGCTGAGGTGAGTGGATTGCCTGAGCCTGTGGG